GAAAAAGGAAACACGGGACGATGCTGTTAAATGAGGCCAAATGTTTTGGTCTTTGCGTTCACCCCTTAATGCTCAACATCATTTCCAACAGGCAGCTGCAAAAATGCCTCAAACTGATCATACAATTGCAGAGCACCAAATGATAGGCGGGAAAAGTTGGCAACTATTTGGTGAACATATTGGAGCATTACGAAGCTGAAGATTGAGATATTTCCCTCAGGAGTTGTTGGGGAACCAAACCGAGGTCGAGTTAAGTTGCCCGATACTCAAAAGATACTTTCCAACTCTCACATTTTGAACGGTCAAATTCTGCAAGAATAATGAAAAATACCTAACAGCATGCCAGGCAGGCCTTGCAAAGTCTGAATATATAATTATTTGGCCAACGCATTGCAGGGTTCTGTTCATACAGCACTAAATGAAAAATGCTAGGCGACTCCAAAGGATTTAAAATATTTGTAACTGGACTCGGATGATTTGAAAATGATGATCTTTGGTTGACTGAGTCTTGCACTAATGGACTTGAGAATTGGAACTAAAAGACCACACTTAAAAAACACCTACTAAACTAAGGCCAAAGATATAATACAGTACATAACTATTTTTCATCCAGAATCCACAGCAGACACTCAAACATTTGATATTGAAATTCTGTGAAAGGTATGCAGTAAAAAAAAGTTATCTTTCCTCAGTAATTGACATGGCTCAACACAGCAAGTTTGTCCTCAAATGTAACAAGAGGATCGTTGAGTTGTGGGAAAAATCACAGCCAATGTGTGAAGATAAGGATTTATTTTCCCACTAATAGAACGTATTAATCACATCTCAGTAAACATTGAGGGTGTTTTGTTAGAAATGACTTCCTGAAGCACTGAAAGCTGTGATATTGATGTCTGACAGCCTGTGGGTACAGAGAAGCATGGTATTAATGCCAGACTGACTCATCTGAAATTGCCTCTTGATGCCCAAACCGCCGTGGGAAACACACCACCAAAGCCCAGGACTCTGAGTTTCTGTGCAAACGGTAAATATTCTCACAGGTTTCAAGTACCTTACAGCAGAAAATGTATTCTGAAAAACTATAAAAGCTACGTGGAAATAAATATTTAATACCAACAGGATGCCCTGAGGAAAAATAGCAACACTGGAGTAAAAACTGGTGAGAAGGATCTTCTTCCAGGCTCCTAGTTTTCCCCAGTTCAACTATATGTCTGTCACACATTGATAACCTGTCACCAGATGAATATAGAAAGCACATCTTTAAAACATGAGCTGGCAGAGCATGGTGCAGCGTACAGTATGTGCATGGTGTGTGTGGCAGCAGCAGTGCTGTCAGTGTATGTGCAGCAAGTCATCTGCATATCTCTTTGCAATAAGTGTGTGATAGCTTTCCCTGAGGAGATAATTTGTTCATCATTAGTTGCACACACAAACAAATTGCAGCTCGTCATGTTAATTCCGGCATCTAAAAACAGGATCTAGGCGCTTTAACCTTTAGCGTTCCCAGAAGATGACAGATGGGGCACCACACGTACGTGTACAGGCTCCGGGGAAAAGGACAAAAATAGTTTACATGTAGGAGCAGAAACGATATGTGCAGGTTTATCGTGTGTACAGTCCATATTTTACATGTAGCCATACCTTAGCAGCAACCAAACTCGCGGTTTCTAAATTAAATAGCAGCTCTTACATTCAAAAAGTTGAAAGAAATTAACTCCTCGACCTCTAGTCGACACTCAACACGGACACAAATCAGCAATTTCAGTGATTTCAGAGCCTGCTGCTGACTGGGTGTTTGGTGCAGACATGACTTTGCCTGCCACCCCCCTCCCTCCCTCCCAAGGCTTGTTTGTGGGATATGTAGCACTTATACCCAACAATATCCGCTGGGTCAGGGTTGGCATTGACTTTCAAAATGACAGGGTCAAATGCTGGATTACTGTACTGCATTGTGGGTTCTATGAAAGAGAGTAAATCCAGAGGGAATGTAAAGGTCAATGCATTTGGGCAGCCATTTCAGACTACACAGAGACAGCAAAGTGAGTGGTAGAGTGATTTTTCTTCATCAAAGGAAACTCCCCCCGTATTCTAGTCCAAAAATCTGAAAGAGTGCCTGATTTCGTTCTTTCAAAAAGCTGCTGTCTGGCAGGTACTGACCAGGTAGCTGGGTATGATCAAGATGAGAGATTTCAAAACTGGCACATTTCTTATTTCAGTCAGCCGGGTGAGGGCATAACTACATTTCAGAAATGGCAGAAAATCAGAGGAAGATAGGGGAAACTAGTATGATACTTGACTTTGAAAGCAAATTTAAGCACAACATAAAGTACCACATTGAGGTTTTGCTGCTTTTTTTAACTGTCATTTCACAGGACACTAAATATTTTTGGAGTTTTCTATAAGGTCTGACAAAACAATGAATATGAAGACTCCTTCTTGGGATCCTGAAAATTATAATAATAGGCTTTTTTCATACAAATGGTTAAAAAACATAATCATTTTAATTTATTATGAAAATGTGTTTATTTGCAGCCGAGTACTGAACTATAAAAAGAGCAAGCCTTTTTAAACAATTAATTCACTTTCGAGCAACATGTGATCAGAACCTCACTAATATATTAAAAGGCTTTCATTTGTTCTAGTGTTTTTATTTTACACATGGAACTATAAAACACTGCAGGTACACACAAACCACCCCTTGATTCATTAAATTAGCAGCAACAACTTTGATATTCCATTATTACGGTGAAAATAAAGTGTGGAAGTGTGCAGATGGGAATATGAAAGTGTGCACCGAGCGGCAGTGACTGTCAGCAGAGGGTCTATTTACACCAACACTCACTTGAACATCAGTTCATTAAGCACCTACTAGCCATGAAAAGGCCACCGTGACCACAAAACAACCCCCCACCCACACTGTACATATTTGTCTCTCCTTCATCTTAACCTCCTACCTCTCGCCCACACACACACCTTTCTGTGTAATCAAAGTAGACCTACCCTTCAACACATTTACATGTCTCATAATGAGGGAAACTTACTGCGCAGCCCGTCATTACACGCACCATTAAAACACAGCAGTAGACTAATCTAGCGCTTCCATACGGGACAGCAGGAGGAGGAGGAAGAAGAGACACGATAGAGGACAGGGGAGTGTAAGCTAAATACAGCAGGAGGTAAAGGCGAGTACGCGGGGAGTAGCAAGCCGGAAAATACTGGTAAACAAGATGTAAGGAAATAAGAAGAATAGGAGAAAGAGGACCTTAAGGTGGTGGAGCAGCGTTGCCATGAGCAGAAGGATATGCTTTGAATTTGAGTAGCATTCACGAAGAACAGAAAATAAGCAGTTAGCATGGGTGGAGTGAGCTAGAAACGCAGCAGGTGAAGAAGTGAAGTGATGCATGGGGAGGAAAAGCAGGAGGAAAATACTTGAACGGGAGCAAAGGGAGAAACAGTATGCTATGTTTTGGAAGGAGAACAAAACGATGCTTGAGGAAGAGCAGCAGGAGTATAATTTGTTGTACCACATGGAGGACATGCTTGGACAGGTGCAGTTCCAGTAGGTGATCTTTGGGAATAACAAGCAGGAGCAACACACAAGTCATAGTAATGTTTTGGAAGGAACACTGGAAGGATCAATAGTAATGTAACGGAAGAGGAGGAGGTAATAGTGGAAGGATATAAATTCTTAGGGGTGAGCAACAGAGTAGATGCTCTGAGAGGAACAACAGGAGACTGTAAGATCAGAAGAAAGAGCAGGTAGAAAAAGGAGAAGTAGGACAGCAGGAGTCAAATGTGATGCTCGGAAAGGAACAGAAGGTGGAGCTTAGGAAGAAGAAGCAGCAACACAGTGTTTGAGGAGAAATAGCTGGAGCAATGCTTGCAAATGGGCGGCAACAGGTACAGCGGTCTACGAAGGAGCAGGAGGAGGGATGCTTGTGAAGAAGCAGAAGGAGCATGAGTTGATCATGTTTTGGGAGAAGTAGCAGAATGGCATACTTGTTGAGGTGCAGCTAAAGAAGCAGGAGGTGGCGTTGGAGGATGAGAAGGAGCAGCAAGAGCAGCAGGAGGGGATGTTGGACGATGAGAAGGAGCAGCAGGAGCAGCAGGAGTCAAATGTGACGCTGGAAATTGAGCAGTGGCGGTGGGAGAGACTTTAAGAGAAGCAGCAGGAGAATCAGCTGGGAATGCTCGAGACGAAGCAGGAGATCATACTTGTAGACGGGCAACAAAAGAGGCGGAAGGTGATGTTTGCCAAAAAGCAGGGGGAGATGATGCCTTAAAGGGAGGCAGGGGGGGCAGCAGGAGGTTATGTTGGGCATGAGGGGGAGAACCAAGGGAGGGGGTGCAGCTACATGGAGTGACTGAGCACCTGTGAGCTATAATTATGATTCACGTTGCTGCTCCAGGTGAGCAGCAGGGGGGATGTAATAGCGCCATCACAGTGCACTGGAGAGGAAGAAACACAGTGATGTTTGGCACTAAACACCACACAATATATGACACAGAGAATACACATCATAAGATATTGGATAGGAGTGAATCCCTGATGTAATTGAAGCCTAAAACATCACTCACTATGATTAAAAAATGAAAATAAAATAAACATTATTATGCTATTTCATGCTTGGTGGTTAGTTGCATACATATTATTCCTCTCAAGACGATTTTATAATGATGATGGTATAAATCTAGGTGTAAATACAAATGTGTATTCTACAGTATAGACTAACAACATAGCCTATTGGTAGAGCAGCAGCAAAACAAATAATATATGACACATTGCATACCTTTACTGTCGAAAACTAGCCTTCATATTAATGCCCCCCTAAAAAGAAAACTTACTGATAAATACTGAAGCACCTGACAAATGACAAAATAAGTTTATGTTGGTCTACAAAAAGTTAAACTGTGAGACTATTAGAACAATGGTTGTTAGCAGTGGGGCAGCTTGAATCACAATTAGCCTAAATGAACAGTGAAACATTTAGCACACCTACCTTCGACTGCGCACACCGAACTCAGCACACAGAGAAGAACCGCAACACAAGTGGCCCGCATGGCCAACATGACTCCCCGCCTGTACTCTCGCATTATCCGGCTGACAGTAGAGAGAAAATCCCACAGAAACACGCTGTATTCCTCTTGTAAACAGTCACATCGCAGCCCTCAGTGTGTGTATGCTGCACCGGCAGTCAGCGGGGACTGGAGCAGATACACTGCAGCTGGCGCTGGGCTCTCTCGCCTCTCACACCTCTCTGACCAATCAGGAGACAGCATGGCGGATCGTAAACCAATCACCCGTTCTGTTCCACCTGACCCAGACTGAATGTTAGCCCCCACCAAACCCGGCATGGTGGCTTCTGTGACGGGACAGTGACCCCAAGTGGTCAAACTGCAGTACAGCAATACAAGCATCAGACTCCACTCATATCTGTGTTAAAGCAAATGAAGCTAATTCATGTTTTCTGTATCATTATTTTTATTCAAACGGTTACATTTTCACTACAGTGATTAGTGAAGGTGTATCTTCTCTTAAACTGAGAAGTTAAACATTGATTCAGGACATTTGATAACATATTGCACCAAAAGTGCATCCACATAAAAACAAAGCACAACTCTTCCTAAACTACCATAGTTTTCCTGCTTCTTCTGCTACATTTATCATGCCTTCACAATAGTTCATGTTTTTATGTAGTCTCCTTAATAGACATTAGGCAATACATGATGTATGTTACTTATTGATCATCATGGAGATTTAAAATATAAATCCTTAGCAAAAACTATTTTTTTATGCTCAAATAGCACAATAATATTAGTCATGTTTTTTTATATTTTGCATCTATGGTAATCTACATGTATGAGTCACATTTTTCAACCAATGGAAACATGCTTTCCCCAGCATGTATGTTCCAGCCTGTCCTCCTCCAAATAACGACCAAATAGGTCGATTGTTCAGCAGCTTATTACGACCTATAGTCACGTTTTAAAGTTTAGCATCTCTAGTGGTCGTGTAGGAAACAACAATTTGCGGCATATGGGCTGATGCTCCCATTGATTGTAAACACTCCAGAGGGTCGTATATTCACATATAAACCTCGCTGGAAAATCCTAAATTGTAGAATAGTTTGGCCATTAAAATGCTTTTTGATTTGATTTCTAGCAAGAAGTGTATATTGTACTTTTAGAATCCACGTCCAGTGGATGTGTAGGATCTATAGTTTGATCAATAGTGAGCCGTCAGGGCCCTCTAGGCCCTCTCTGAGGGCCTAAGATATTCTAAAAAATAATATTTTAAAACATTAAAATATTGTGGACCTCCATGGGACCTTATTTCGGGAAAAATTATGTATTGAAGTTCGACACGGTGAACCATCAGATCCTCCTTCGCACTCTCCAAGAACTTGGAGTTTCAGGCTCTGCACTTTCCCTCCTCACCTCATACCTCAAAGACCGTACCTACAGGTTAACTTGGAGAGGGTCCGAGTCCGACCCTTGTCAATTAACTACAGGGGTCCCTCAGGGCTCTGTTCTTGGTCCCCTCCTCTTCTCCTTGGACACAAACTCGCTCGGATCAGTCATGGTTTTTCATACCACTGCTACGCTGATGACACCCAACTAATTATGTCCTTTCCCCGCTCAGAGACCCAGGTCGTCGCACGCATCTCTGCTTGTCTAGCTGACATCTCTCAGTGGATGTCTGCTCATCACCTCAAGCTCAACCTTGACAAGACTGAACTGTTTTTCCTTCCGGGAAAAGATTGTCCCACTCTTGACCTGACAATCAACATCGGCACCTCTGTTGTTTCCCCGACTCAGACTGCAAGGAATCTGGGTGTGATCCTAGATAACAAACTGTCTTTCATTGCAAACATCGCTGCTACAACCCGTTGCTGCAGATACACGCTTTACAACATCAGGAGGATACGTCCCCAGTTGACCCAGAAAACAACGCAGGTTCTGGTCCAGGCTCTCGTCATCTCACGCCTAGACTACTGCAACTCCCTCCTGGCTGGTCTACCTGCATGTGCCATCCGACCTCTGCAGCTCATCCAGAATGCAGCAGCTCGTCTGGTCTTCAACCTTCCAACATTTTCCCACACCACTCCGCTCACTTCACTGGTTTCCGGTAAATGCTAGAATCCACTTCAAGACACTGGTACTTGCGTACCATGCTGCGAATGGATCTGGCCCTTCCTACATCCAGGACATGTTTAAACTGTACACCCCAGCGCGTGCACTACGCTCTGCATCAGCCAAACGACTCGCTGCACCCTCGCTGCGAGGGGGACCCAAGTTCCCATCAGCAAAAACACGTGGGTTTGCTATCCTGGCTCCAAAATGGTGGAATGAGCTCCCCATTGACATCAGGACAGCAGAAAGCCTGCACATCTTCCGGTGCAGACTGAAAACTCATCTCTTTCGACTCCACTTCGAGCGATAGAATTACTAACAAATAACTGCTAACACAGCACTTATATACTAATAAAGGACTGGCTTACCTAAAGCCAGTTGAGTAGCACTTGAAATGTTTGGCTCTATGAAACCTGATGTACTTATATGATTCTGTTTTCTTCAAGGTTGTGTCTTCCTGGTCGAATGTACTTATTGTAAGTCGCTTTGGATAAAAGCGTCAGCTAAATGTAATGTAATGTAAAAGTCTTGGCTTTCAGAATATGAAACTTTTATTTCCAAAATCACACGATAAATTATTTTTTGAAGACTCTCAGCAGAGGACAAACAATTAGCTGTGAGAGAGGAGAGGAGACTCAGGGATTCGACCAAAGACGCTGCTGGTGAATATTTGTGGATGTATTAGTCTGTTTTAACCATGTTTGATTACATGTATTATAGTCTTATGAAGTAAGAAGCTATAATGTAAGATGCTGGAATAGAATTTACTTTGTTGAGTTGCATTTACTTTTGATTAGATGTTAGGTTTAATTGTAACTTGATTATGGAGAATAAATGAAAGTGCTTGTTAAAGGATAGCATGTTTTTTTATTGAAATGTTTGTTTGCCTAAAATGAATGAAGGTATGTTTTGTTTTAAAGGTTTTCAACCTAAATGACTAAATGATGCATCAAGAGGCTAACAAGAGGCTGAATGAAGCAAAAAGGAATCTGCCATCACTGAAATAAAGAGGAAAGATTCAAGTCTGAGTTTTCCCATGTGTCCTTTTGGAAAGAATCAAGCCATTTCCAAGTTTAGGCAGGAGTCAATCAAACAAACCAGATCACAACTTGACATAAACAAAGTCTTGGAATTAAGAATATTAAACTTGTTTCGGCAAATTCAGATGATAAATACAACTTTGAAGCTTGTAACGGCATAATTACAGGCGGAGAACGGAGTAATTTGACGTCACAGAAGGCTTAACAACAGCCGGTGTTTCTCGTGAGTGTTTTCCCCGGGAAACACACACAAACACGTATACACACACACACACACTCACACTCGCGAGCTTCCCACAGACCAGTAATCCAAACGAAAATATCTTCCCTCCGTAGTATTTTGATAATTTGCTCCGCTAATAATCAATCAGATAGATGGATTCCAGAGAAGACGAAACTTTAAAGGCCTTTTCTCAAAATGATGACTCGGTGACATTCATTATATAATGGGACATATTTTGCTTAATATTTGGAGTACAAAAACAATCCAGATATCATTAGAAAGCTAGGAATCTACTCTTTCCAACAGTGTATACAACTCAAAATGTGTCTTCGGGTCACTGCGACTGATTTCGATGGAGCAGGTCACATGATGTTAGTCAATTTAAAAGAAAATTGTGCCGTACAACTTTTAAATAAGACTTTTTTTTGTGTGAAACCGCTCAGTGAACTACATCTCTGGTCCCGCACAACAACACACGTCACCAAGATGGCCATCACTACTGTCTTGCCAATTAAGGGATTGACTACCCTCACTATCACCACAATGAAACACATCCCGAAGAATGTCATGCAAAGCTGCCTGGCTGCCTGTCTTCCTTTTGATTCTCCCTGAACTGCCTGATATTTTTAATGTGCAATGTTAACTATTTGTGCAGATAGCATGAAGTAGAAAAGATTGCCGATGCTAATGTAGCGTTAGGGTTAGCATGTCTCCCGCGGGGGCATCCGGGCTTAAACGGTGAATTATAGAATGATCACACCGGTGTGACAGTACTCTTCAAAGGGTTCACGAAATATGACTACTACTCTTACTGTTTAACATTTTGGGTTACTTAATGTTACTTCATGTTAAGGCTAATACAAATGACAAGGCTAAGGCTGTAATGCTAACTAACGTGCTTGCTACTAGCTAGTTAGCTAACTTGATCCAGCCACTCCTGGTCCGAAAGAATGCGCAAGACCCATTGTTGGGATGATTACAATTATTACAATTACAACAACATTATTGATTCGAAAATAATATGATACAGTACTATTACGTCTGGGTCTCTGTGTTTCATTAAAGCACGGCTGTGTGTGTGTGAAACGAGCCATTTTGTGTGCGTGCACGAGCGAGAGAGCGCACCGGTACCGGAGATCGTTGTTGTTAGCTTCTGGTGCTAGCGAGCTACGCTAACGGATATATGGAGTTTTTTCAACAACAAAGTGGAGGAGAGTCCTCTCCTGTCAGACTGAGAGACTCAGTGAACTAAAGGACTTTCTCAGTGTTATCTCAGTGGGTCTCAAATGTTTTGGTCACCATTAATGTAAACAATTATTTCCGAGGCACACGTTTATATGATCATTATAGTTATAAAAAAATAAGACAATAAATGAAAAACAGGAATGAAATACTATATGACAGTAAAAAAAGAATAAAGTTTAAAAGGGTGATTTGTAAAATATCCATAAAGAAAAAGGAAATCTGTTTACAGTTCTGTTTCATATGGGTGTTGAGAGAGGTATCCATAGATCTCTTCATTTTGCTGTCAAAGTGCACCAGATTGATGCATTTAACTTCAATATTTAAAAATAAATCTTCCCGGGGGAGCTTGCCCCCGGACCCCCCTATGTAAGGTCCACACACCACCTATAAAAATAGCACTTTACCCCTGCTTACACATTACTTCATTGTAACTGTTGCGGGTACGTTGTGTATATGCGTGGGGAGTGTTGCAGTAGAAAATTCCACTGTAGCGACCGGTACATTAATGGGAAACCCTAAATGTTTGAGCACCCTCTATGAAACGTCAAGCTACC